ATAAGTCTCCCCTGGAGCAGGTCAGTAAGTCTCCCCTGGAGCAGGTCAGTAAGTCTCCCCTGGAGCAGATCAATAAGTCTCCCCTGGAGCAGATCAGTAAGTCTCCCCTGGAGCAGATCACTAAGTCTCTCCTGGAGCAGATCAATAAGTCTCTCCTGGAGCAGATCAATAAGTCTCTCCTGGAGCAGATCAATAAGTCTCTCCTGGAGCAGATCACTAAGTCTCCCCTGGAGCAGATCAATAAGTCTCTCCTGGAGCAGATCAATAAGTCTCCCCTGGAGCAGATCAGTAAGTCTCTCCTGGAGCAGGTCAGTAAGTCTCTCCTGGAGCAGATCAATAAGTCTCCCCTGGAGCAGGTCAATAAGTCTCCCCTGGAGCAGATCAGTAAGTCTCCCCTGGAGCAGATCAATAAGTCTCCCCTGGAGCAGATCAATAAGTCTCCCCTGGAGCAGATCAATAAGTCTCCCCTGGAGCAGGTCAATAAGTCTCCCCTGGAGCAGATCAGTAAGTCTCCCCTGGAGCAGATCAATAAGTCTCCCCTGGAGCAGGTCAATAAGTCTCCCCTGGAGCAGATCAATAAGTCTCCCCTGGAGCAGGTCAATAAGTCTCCCCTGGAGCAGATCAATAAGTCTCCCCTGGAGCAGATCAATAAGTCTCCCCTGGAGCAGATCAATAAGTCTCCCTTGGAGCAGATCAATAAGTCTCCCCTGGAGCAGGTCACTAAGTCTCCCCTGGAGCAGATCACTAAGTCTCCCCTGGAGCAGATCACTAAGTCTCCCCTGGAGCAGATCAATAAGTCTCCCCTGGAGCAGATCAATAAGTCTCCCCTGGAGCAGGTCAATAAGTCTCCCCTGGAGCAGATCAATAAGTCTCCCCTGGAGCAGATCAATAAGTCTCCCCTGGAGCAGATCAATAAGTCTCCCCTGGAGCAGGTCAGTAAGTCTCCCCTGGAGCAGGTCAGTAAGTCTCCCCTGGAGCAGATCAGTAAGTCTCCCCTGGAGCAGATCAATAAGTCTCCCCTGGAGCAGATCAATAAGTCTCCCCTGGAGCAGATCAGTAAGTCTCCCCTGGAGCAGATCAATAAGTCTCCCCTGGAGCAGATCAATAAGTCTCCCCTGGAGCAGATCAATAAGTCTCCCCTGGAGCAGGTCAGTAAGTCTCCCCTGGAGCAGGTCAGTAAGTCTCCCCTGGAGCAGGTCACTAAGTCTCCCCTGGAGCAGATCAATAAGTCTCCCCTGGAGCAGATCAATAAGTCTCCCCTGGAGCAGGTCAGTAAGTCTCCCCTGGAGCAGGTCAATAAGTCTCCCCTGGAGCAGGTCACTAAGTCTCCCCTGGAGCAGGTCACTAAGTCTCCCCTGGAGCAGGTCAGTAAGTCTCCCCTGGAGCAGGTCAGTAAGTCTCCCCTGGAGCAGGTCAATAAGTCTCCCCTGGAGCAGGTCACTAAGTCTCCCCTGGAGCAGGTCAGTAAGTCTCCCCTGGAGCAGGTCAATAAGTCTCCCCTGGAGCAGGTCACTAAGTCTCCCCTGGAGCAGGTCAGTAAGTCTCCCCTGTGCGCCCTCAGAACGCGAAGCAGGAAGGTTAACACTCGGCTTACACTCAGTTCAGCGGGTTGTCTCGTCTGGTCTGAGGTGGAACATTTGAAGCTTTATTCATCTCTAAATAAATAGTATGTGTTATTTTTGATCAGAGATGATTGAATGCGTGTCTCTAAAACATTTTGAAATAACCGGTTACACGTGTACACCCCTAATTTCTACATTCAAGCGTCTTGTGTTTCAACATGAAGACTGGTCTCGGGGAGGCTGGTTACCTAGGTGATTGTCCATCTGGCAAAGCATTTTGGGAATATTCTCGTTCTTCTCGTCCTCCTCTCTGAGGACCGGCGCCATGTTCCAGATCATCACCTTTCCAGAATCCTCTCCTGAAAACACGCAGTAAAAAAGTTTTAGTTTGGCTGATCAAGAATTCTTTGCACACGTCACTCCGCTCGCTCTCAGTTACTGCTCACATCAGATTTAAATCTCTGCTGCTCGCTTACAGAAACGTCTCCTCATGATCTAAAAACTCTCTGATCCTCCATGACAAACGTCTCCTCATGATCTAAACTCTCTGATCCTCCATGACAAACGTCTCCTCATGATCTAAACTCTCTGATCCTCCATGACAAACGTCTCCTCATGATCTAAACTCTCTGATCCTCCATGACAAACGTCTCATGATCTAAACTCTCTGATCCTCCATGACAAACGTCTCATGATCTAAACTCTCTGATCCTCCATGACAAACGTCTCATGATCTAAACTCTCTGATCCTCCATGACAAACGTCTCATGATCTAAACTCTCTGATCCTCCATGACAAACGTCTCATGATCTAAACTCTCTGATCCTCCATGACAAACGTCTCATGATCTAAACTCTCTGATCCTCCATGACAAACATCTCATGATCTAAACTCTCTGATCCTCCATGACAAACATCTCATGATCTAAACTCTCTCTGATCCTCCATGACAAACGTCTCATGATCTAAACTCTCTCTGATCCTCCATGACAAACGTCTCATGATCTAAACTCTCTGATCCTCCATGACAAACGTCTCATGATCTAAACTCTCTGATCCTCCATGACAAACGTCTCATGATCTAAACTCTCTGATCCTCCATGACAAACGTCTCATGATCTAAACTCTCTCTGATCCTCCATGACAAACGTCTCATGATCTAAACTCTCTGATCCTCCATGACAAACATCTCATGATCTAAACTCTCTGATCCTCCATGACAAACGTCTCCTCATGATCTAAACTCTCTCTGATCCTCCATGACAAACGTCTCATGATCTAAACTCTCTGATCCTCCATGACAAACATCTCATGATCTAAACTCTCTGATCCTCCATGACAAACGTCTCATGATCTAAACTCTCTGATCCTCCATGACAAACGTCTCCTCATGATCTAAACTCTCTGATCCTCCATGACAAACATCTCATGATCTAAACTCTCTGATCCTCCATGACAAACGTCTCATGATCTAAACTCTCTGATCCTCCATGACAAACATCTCATGATCTAAACTCTCTGATCCTCCATGACAAACATCTCATGATCTAAACTCTCTCTGATCCTCCATGACAAACATCTCATGATCTAAACTCTCTGATCCTCCATGACAAACGTCTCATGATCTAAACTCTCTGATCCTCCATGACAAACGTCTCCTCATG